GGCGGGGCGGGGGCGGACCGGGTCAGGCCTCCCGGCTCGTTCCAGGTCCCGGCCCGCGCCGAGGAGATCACCATCCCCGCCGACGTCACTCCGGAGAAGGTGCCCACGCACATCGTGGATTACTCAGGTAGGCCGGGCCCGTGGCCGCCGGCCCGCGGGGCCTGGCTGCAGCTCGCTCTCACCCTCTCTCTTCCCTAGAAACGGAGCAGACGGAGGAGGAGCTCCAGGATGAGATCCACAGGGTGAGGCGCTGAGCCAGAGTCGGGGCCAGGCGTGGGGGGGTGCTGAGCCCGAGTCGGGGTCGGATATTGGCCACTATCTGGGCCTAATCCGCTTCCTCCACTGGGGAACTGAATTAAGTCCACCGGCTGTCCTTGGCCTGCTAATTCTGCCTTGACCCTTTGGCTCCCAGTACACCTTCCAGGGATCTCTTTTCTGCACGTGTTCCTGGGGGCGTGCCATCACAGCCGGCCCTAAACATCCCCATGTCCTCCTCTTTGCTCTGTGGTCCAGTCTGTACTCGAGGCCCCCAGGTCCCAGAGGATCCTGTCAGCACCTCTGTGCACTAAAGCCCCCATGGTGTGTCCTGCTCAGGCCACCGCTGTTCAGGGGAGACCCCTCCCACCATCACTTGGCCTTTGATCTCACCGCTGGGTTGTTTGTAGTAAGGTCAAAGCAAGGGGCTGAGACCAAGACTTGTTCCCTGGGGCATCTTATTGTCCTCTGGCATGATTATGCCTGTCCTGACAGCTCAGGCCCTGGGGCCCCGCTGGCCAGAGCCACTGGGAGCAGGCAGGGAAGGGGCTTGTCCAGACAAGGGAAGGCTTTTCAGGCCTCTGCTGTGCCCCATCCTGCCTGTGAGCACCTGGGCTGTGCACAGTGAATGCCCAGCCTTCACTCACCCTGGCCTTGGTGCTCTTCCCGCAGGCAGATGTGGTGTGTGTGGTGTACGATGTGTCTGAGGAAGCCACCATTGAGAAGGTGAGCAGCAGCCCCTGGACACTGCCTGTCCTCAGTGCAGACATTCCCCTGAGTGTCCAGTGGGCTCTCTCCTGCCTGTGACCAGCCTTGCAGAGTCCAGACCTCAGGGGGAGGTGATGAATCTCCTGGCGCTTGGCCTGCTGTTCGGATCAGACAAGGCCCTGTGGACTCTATTTTCTCCCTCCGGCTCTACCCTTAGTGGCTGTGAGTTTGGTCCTCATTCGCCTTGATCTCCTCTCCTCTCCTATGTAGTCTGGGTCCTCTAAGGAGGACCTGTGGGCTGGTTGGGCGGCCTCATACCACAGCCAGTCTTTGCTTTTTATTTGTTTTTTTGGGTCTAGTCATGGGGCCTGAACTGTGGGCCTGGGCACTGTCCCTCAGCTCTTCAGCTCAAGGCTAGCGCTCTACCACTTGAGCCACAGCGCCACTTCTGGCTTTTT